CTGCTCAATGTGCCAAGATCAAAAATCATTCCGCTATCTGTAGAGATATCGACTCCATTTTGATTCTGCCACCTAATTAGGCAGTTTTTCTACCAAAAAAAGTCATTCGTGCAGTCAGAAATGAGCTATCTCTGCTCTGAAAAAAGTTTGGATTTCGTCATCGATCCTACTGCTCAATGTGCCAAGATCAGAAATTATCTCCGCTATCTGTAGAGATATCGACTCCATTTTGATTCTGCCACCTAATTAGGCAGTTTTTCGACCCAAAAAAGTCATTTGTGCAGTCAGAAATGAGCTATCTCTGCTTTGAAAAAAGTTTGGATTTCGTCATCGATCCTACTGCTCAATGTGCCAAGATCAAAAATCATTCCCGCTATCTGTAGAGATATCGACTCCATTTTGATTCTGCCACCTATTTAGGCAGTTTTTCGACCCAAAAAAGTCATTTTTGCAGTCAGAAATAAGCTATCTCTGCTCTGTCTATATTCTGAAATATCTATACACACGGACCACATGGTACAAATGTTTGAGTTGATTTCAACACCGAGTACACAAAATTGTATCAATTTAGGTGCACCCTGGAATATTCAACATTTTTATAGCTATACCAATAGACTTATACTGATTCAAAATATCTCAGAAGTTTGAAAAATTTTCGCGATATCATGTGCGCAGTCATGAGTAAATTTTAATAAAATTTGAGTAGGTACTTCATCATCATTTATTCATTTCCATTAGACAATTTACATTGTATTTTGTATTGGTACAGTCATTTTGAAATATTTATATAACAGATTGAGGAGAAAAGAAAAAGAAGAGACTATTTACAGTTGATAGGTTTTCCACACTTACTAAGTAAAACTAAAACAAAAATATTAAAAAAATCTCAAACAGTGTTTGAAAAAAATTCATCAATATTGTAAAAACAGTTGTCAATTGAAAATTTTTCAATTTGATTTTAAAGTCCCTCAAGGAATTGCTGATTTTCACGTAGTCTGGCAACTTATTGAACACTTTCAAACCCATATGATCAGATGACCTGTATGATATTCCAATTTTGGAAAATGATACACGAAAATGTTCTCTATGTCGAGTGCTATAATTAAGAAAATGTTCAATTAGTGAAAATATTCGCTTGTTTAAACACATTTATTCATAATTCATATACAAATAGGCATATCAATGGCAAA